GTTTCAGGAAAATGTAGAAGTAACTTGGGTCTCAATACTAGTACTGTAAGGTGTGTCTCAAGGATTATCAACTACTAATAATAGTTATACACATTTTTAAATGACTTGCTTTCCCTGAGACATCAGAATAGATTCAAATTTATCCCCATAATGATGTCACTCTTAGTCATTTGCATTCTGATACACTTTCTTGCATGGGGATTGGGTGAGATGGAATTACACATAGCATGCTCGGAAACTGCACATTAGAATATGTCACATATGTAAATATCTCGTACTTGAGTCAGAAAAAAATTGAGAATCACTGACTTAGATACAAAATTTTGTTTTATTGCCAGATAAGACATAAAAACTATGTGGTCCAACTCCTAACTCTTTATACAGTTCAGTGCGTGTTTCATGATACCCTGGTCCGTGCATTTAAATTATAAGTGAGTGCTTTTTAGGAATTAGAATCCTACACTTATAGAACACACATTTTGAAATGGGGATATTTATAAAATAATGGTCCGTAAAGAATAATCATACACATTAGTAGTAGCAGGAAAAGATTCACGTAAGAGTTTTAAGTACTATTACCCCTGAAAATAAAGTTTAAGTTTTAAACAGGTTAAGTAAATGCGGTTTAAGGAAGGGAGGAATATTAGAGATTTAAGAAAGTAACATTTAGCTTTTCTGTACCACTTTTAAGCAAATATTTGTGGTTAAAATGAAAGGAATTTTGGGAAACCATCCACCAACAGATGATAATCTAAGGTGGAAGAAAAATAATTCAGGAATTCAGACAAACTAGACATATTTTGAGGTAAAAAGCATTTAAAGTGAATTTCCAATTATCCCTACTGAGACATAGCAATTGAAGAACTAAAAAAGTACAGCTAATAGGAGATAATACTAATTATTTCCTTTGTACAAATACAAATGTCATTTGATTTACTTAATGTACATTACTGAATATCCAAAGTCTAAAATTTGGGGACTTTTAGGATGGTAGAATAAACACAGAAATACTAAGAGAGAGAAAATTAAAGCTACCACATAGCGAACTGAATATGAAAGTTGAGGATTTCCTAAATTCAGACACTTTACCTAGATTGTCTCATTCTTCTTCATGACAACCTTGTGAGGCAATCTTATCATCCTCATTTTACAGATGAGGAAACTATGATTTAAAGAGATTACATAACTTGCCCAAGATCCCACAGAAGAAAATTCTGACTTGTGACTGAAACCCAATTAGCTTAGCTCGAAAAGAAATGAATCTTCTTTCACTACACCCTGCAACCTGGCAAAAAAACACCTCTATTAAAAATTTTAGCATTTTAATTAAAACCGTCAAAAGGAGGAAATGATATCACGCTTACAGTAAGTGATGATATACAGACTAAATATTAGTCATTGTTTGATAAGTATATAAATTTAAGAAATAATTCCAAGTCATCCATGACATTTAATTTTATAAAACTAAATATCTAATATCCCCAAAATGGAGAAATCTGAAAATTTTTGTAGAAAGGCATTAAGTAAACTTCATCTGACCTAGATATTTTGAACACAAAGAAAAAACTTGGAAGTCCCATATTTTGTCAGCCATACAGCAGTTTCACATGGGTAACTAGGATTATATTTATACTTATAATTAGAAGAAGTGGGAAATTGCTTGTCTGATTTCTTTTGTTCTGACTCTAATCTGTCCTCTATTTATTCTTTTCCATTTTTCCTCCAGATCTTGGAGCCCTCTTCTAAATTACAGTAACAAAGTTTCAAGTTCAGGAACTGCAAGTTTAGGTGCAGGTGCAGATATACTGCAATAAAGACCACAGTACCGCTATGATTGGTAGAGTGTTACAGAAGAAACAAAAGTTTCAGTAATTTTCCAAAGTGTTAACTATCATGGAATTATTGGTGACTTTTCTTCTCTATACTCTTTTGTTGTTGTTCTTGTTATTGTTTTAATATAAGCTCTACACCCAAACGTGGGGCTTGAACTCATAGCCCCGAGATCAAGAGTCCCATGCTCTACTGACTGAGCCAGCCAGGCAACCCATCTTCTCTATAGTCTATTTAGCTGATTTAACTTTTATAAAAAAAGATAAAAATAGTAAAGAAAGAAGAAAAGAGGGAGGGAGGCGGGTAAAAAAAAACTGGGCCTTCAATTAAAAAATATTACACATTTTATTCTTTTTGAAGTTCTACAACTATGACCTGCTTGTTCTTTTTAATCTCTCAGGTGGTGTGGTAAATTAACCATACATAAGCATACCAAAGTCAAATGAGACATGGAGAAATAATATCAAGGCAATCTAGGATCTATAAATTCTGAGACATAGTTCTTAATTTCAATATTTAAGAAATTAGTTATATAAATGAGCTAAGAATGAAAAACAAATTTAGGGCATACTAAAACTGAAAAGCAGGATTCAAATACTTACAGAAGAATGCAGAAATTTCCTAAGTATGGAAAAATTACAAATATACACATATGTGAACTTATACCCATTTATTATTCTTTTATTATAAACTAAATTTCTGTGTTAAAACATTCTTTTAGCAACACCATGAAACAACACCCAAATAGTTGTGAGTCCTATCAAAATACTGAGTTAAATGTTTCTAGATAATTACTTCATTTTCCATGAAATAGTTATACTAAAACTTCCCATTTATAGGCTTTCTTTTTCCATCACAAAAATATACTTATTCCAAAACAACATGCATAAGATTGATCCAACCTATTGTTTGTTACTGAAACACTGAATAATCGATAAATACTAATAATCGAAACACCAGTCCTTTAGACCTGTTTTCAAAAGATGCTCATTCAAAGATCAAGTATAAAACTATCATCTACTAATACAGGAGTCCAATTTTAAAACAAGCTTTTATTTGTATAACAAGTTCATTTGATTTCTTTTTTTTTTTTCTTATTACCAAAATGCAACTTACTCATCTGGGCCTTGTTGTACAAACATGACTTCCTACTCACTCACAAGATTGCTTTGTAAGTCTCATGGCAATTAAATTACTATAGTTTTTGTAAACATTATTTCCATCTGCAAATAAAAATTAAGCTCTTACGATATTTTGGTATGTTATATATTTATGCCGGTTTTCAAACCTGATCATTTCAGTTCCCCTTTTCCTTTATACTTACTATCTGTAATAGCTATCTGGGAAATGTTATTGCTGTGTAGATGGTTGGGTAGTTACTGTACAATTCAACCTTACTTCATTGTTTGAACATTTTCATACATAGTAAAATAAAGGAGAAAATAAAATGGCAGCTTGGAAGTTCACAGACCAGAGTTATAACTATGTAATAGTTGAAGATGAAATGAAAGTGATTTGCCTACCGAAAGTGTGAATTCTTACTTCCAAACTACTGACATCAACCTTAGTGCAGAAGCTGCATTAACTGGTCCCTAATTTTACCTGGGATCTATTTAATGCTGCCTACCATCAGTGCAGAAGAGAAACAGATCTTGACCAAAGGCCATCCAGGGGAAAAGGAAAAAAAAAAAAAAAAAGGCAGGTAAAAGGTTTCCAAGTATGCCTACATACTCTCTTAATATAGTCTCAGTACCTTTGGAAGTATAGTTCTCTTGGTTCAAGAGTACTTAGCAAAAAAGATTCCTGGATTACAAAAGACTACATTCAGCCTTCCTTTGCATTCTGACAAATATGTGGTTCCTGAATATTTCTTTCTAAAGACTACACAGGTATACCAAGACTACAACACTACACTCTTGAAATAATTACATAATGCAAGGGGTTTTTTTAATCCTATTCCCATTCCATAGGTTAAAAAGTGTTTTCTAGTCTTTTATCACTAAAATAGTTTTTTTACTGGTTTTCCCGTAACACTTTTATACATAGTGACTCCACTGGGGAAATTGTTTTATTAACTTAGAATACCTGGAGAAAGAGGAAAATGGTACTACTGCACCTTTCGAGCAGTTAATGTCAAAGTGACAGACCACTATGAATGTATGCAGCTTTTTTTTTTTAACCATTAGGGCGAACGAAAATGAAAGACTAACAGCCTTAGTAAGTTATTAGATTTGGGACTGCACTGCACTGGAAATCAAGATCACAAATGTACAAAGTAAAAAACGACAACTTCACAGTTAATTTGTGCACAACGTAGCCGGCCCGGCTCTACCAACACCAACACAATTATCGTTTCAGAAAGTTGATACCGAGAAGACTCTGAGGCAGAAAACTAACCCAGAGGTGCCTCGAAACACCTCCTCAACCCTAAATGGCCAAGAGAGTACAGAGCAGAAACTGCCCGGTTGCATGAGCTTCACACTTAACAGTTTTTCTCTTGACTACGTCTTGGGGGTCACCTCTGGCCAAGACAGGAGCAGGGATCGAAGGTGGGGGATAAAAGCGGGAGGTCGGGAGGCTGATGCTCGGGACGGGCTGCTCGGGTCAAGGGGGACTTCAGGGCCCGAGAGGTACGATGGGATTGAGGGAACACCTAGGGGTTGGGGGTGGCCGCCCCAGCCGGAGGGCTGCGCCAGGAGAGGAGCGCTAGAAGACAAGGGGGTGCGGGCGTGATGGGCGGTGCCCAACAGCACCGCTTAACTCCGCCCCACACCCCGCAGCCCACCGACCCGGCGACGGGGCGGGGCCGCTGCGCCCGCCTCAACCCTTTCGCGCCGGCACCCGCCCCCTCAGCCTCCAGTCCCGGGTTGGTGGGAGGGGCCTGCCTCGCCGGGCCGGGTGTGCAGCCCGGCCCGAGCCCCAACCAGGAATGCTTTGCCGCGGGTGGAGAACGGGCGGGAGACCCTGCAGCCTGGGGCGGGAGTAGGGGTGGCCGAGGGCGGAGGAAGAGCCTTCGGCGCAGCCGCCGCAGTCAGGGCTGAGTCCCAGGCGCCCCCCTGCGGGCAGGGAGTGTTGCCCCCGTTCTCCGCTTGCCTGCCCTCCTCTTCCCCCCTCCCTCGGCGTTGCCCCGGGCAACAGCGCCAGCCGCCGGCGGCGCGAAACTCACCTACCTAGAACCTGACAAGCAGGAGCCCCTCAGACCCGGGAGCCAGTCGCCACCCCGCGTCACGGGGGCTGCCACAGCCAATGGGCGCCGCTGTCATGAGCCTCTGCGGCCAATCAAACTGCACTCCGGTCTTCGGGCACCCTCGAGGCCCCAGCCAATGGGCACGAGCTAGAGGCGGGAGCTGCCGCCCGGCCCCCAACCCCCTCCTCCCCCACCTCCCAGGAGGCGGGGCGCGGCCGATTGGCCCTGGACCCGGTAGAGGTGGGATTCGGGCTCTAGGCCAGGTGGGCGCGCGCGGACCCGGGGCTGCGGGCGCGGCGAAAGGGGGCGTGGACCTGTGGCTGCAGCCCTCTGGGTCCGCTACCCAGCTGGGGTGGGGTCTCAAGGTCCTCCTGTTCGTACTGCCCTCCTGGTCCCTGTGACCCCTCTCCTCTCTACTCGGCGTCCAGGGCTGCGGGGGTGGGAGTGAGGGCGGGATGGGGCCGGAGGCGGACGGCGGCGTCACAGGAAACTTTGGGAGGCTCGCCTGGCCGCGACCGGGAAGTGGCCGGGCCGGGGGTGATAAGCTGGGGCCGTCTGGAAGGGACTACCCGGCCGGCCCGCAGCCGGAAAGGAATTCGGAGGGTGGGGGCGGAGTCGTGATTAAAATGTTAAGTGTGCCCGCGGGGTGCTAGGCGATCCCGGGTGCTGAAATCTCAAAGAACGGAAGCCGCTTTGGGGCCGCGACCCCGCACCCCTGAATACGCACTTTTCACCCTCAGAATCATTCACCTTTTCCTGTACATTTTAGTTGCATCAACTCTTAACATTGATACTTTTAGAATGGTTTTTGGCTAAGGCAGGAACTGTGTCTTTCTCATTCCTGTAATTCCCAGTGCCTGAGACTTTTTTAAAAAAGAGGGTTAGACACTCAATGCTGAAATTGGGATGGATGTTGTTAAGCGTACAGCAGGTCCTGCGAGTGGTCCCCTGTAATGATAAGCCCTTACCTCTTCCAGAGTCTAGAACGCGCGAAGAACCCAAATTGGTTTGCTCTTCCGGTGAGGATTGTTTCGGAAGCGTCCTTCCCCAAAAGAACTTAGTGGAAAATGAGTAATGTGAGCTAAACAAAGATAATTAGGTGATCTGTAGCAGTATGATAGGTGTTATTAGTCACTATTCGAGGGTGAGTTCCTGTAGCCGTCTTTTTAAGGCATTGTATCCTGTACATTGGTTGAACCACATTCTTTGCTTGGGGCAAGTTAATGGCAACCCCATCTCCACCCTCCCCCTCTAAAACTTTTGAATTACGTGGAAGCCAAAGAAGAATGGTGAATATTTTTTTTTCGACAGTGTTAGCTGTTTAACGGTAGTGAACAGCTCTACACATAAACACATCTTAAATTGGACTTTTCTTGTCCGCTGTTTCAAAGTCAAAAGAAAGCAAAACATGCTGTAAAGACAAAAAAAAAAAGTAAGAGGCTTAATTCTTGCTCTTAAAGATGTGAGAAGGGATTCCCCTCTCTCAGAACATTTGTCTTAGAAAACCCGTAATTGTTGAATACATTCTTATTTCTTTGAATTGTATATACTTCCTCTTTAAAACTAGTTAGGTCTCTGTCAGCTAATATTTTGTCAGCTTTACATTCTGGGAATGTCTTTAAAGACTTGGGAGATATCAAGATACCACTCTGAAATGTGAACATCAAGAGACATACCAGCCCCCAGAAATGGATAAAGAAAATGTGATATATAATTATAGATATCTACATAGATAGATGCACGTACACCCAATGAGATACGATTCAACCAGAAAAAAAAGAATGAAATCTTGTCACTTGCAACCTTGAGGATGGACCTTGATGACATTGTGCTAAGTGAAATAAGTCAGGCAGAGAAAGACAAATACCCAATGATCTTACTTTATGTGGAATCTTAAAAAAAAAAAAGCTCACAGATTGATGGTTGGGGGTAGAACGGAAATGGATGAAGGGGATCAAAAGGCACAAACTTCCAGTTACAAAATAAATATGCCATGGGGATGTAACATACATCATGGTGACTATAGTAAGAATACTAGATTGCACATTTGAAAGTTGCTAAGGTAGAAAATCTTACGAGTCCTCATCACAAGTGAAAAAAAAAAGACAAACTCATGTAACTATGTACAGTTTCAGATGTGAACTGTACTTATCATGGTGATCCTTTTGCAATATATACAAATATTGAATCATGTTGTAAACCTGAAACCAATATAATATTATGTCAATTATACTGCCATAAAAAGCAAAGGGAAATAACTTTCCATGGGAAACTAAGATTCTAACTTCAGTGGGCAAATCACTCCAACTTGCTAAACTACCTTCCGTCGTAAAGATACAAGAAGGTTGTTTTTCCTCTGGACAAAGCTAATTAGTTAACACAGATGTTCACCCCAATTACAAAATAAAATTAAGATGAATTTCGCACGCAAAAGGTATTGTCAAGGCCTCTTATTTGAGAACTGATTCTTGAAAACGTACGTAATGGGTTGTATTTGCTTGGGTATACAAAGGGGTGAAATTTCTGTCTTTACAATCTCTTTCCTAATTGCCTATAATGCACATCACATTCTGGTTTAATGCTGTGTTTTATTGCTTCATTACTTTGTGGAGAGGATTTCTGAGTTGGGAGAAGATTTTGTTTTTAATTCTATTTTCCTGTATACTTATGCCCAAAATATTGAGACTAGGAAGCTAAGGAAAATTGTTATATTTTAGTTTTTAATTTGTTCTCAAAAATGATCTCAGATGATACTAACTGCTGAATTACAAATACATTTTAATAGAATCAGAAATAACAAGGTTAATGTTTGGTATGTATTTTGTAGTGACTGCTAACTGCACAAACTAAGCATATGTGAATAAACATCTTAAAATGGAAATTAATTTTCTGTGAATATTAAATGCTGTGATATATATCATGTCAATATAAATGAAATCCATGAATGTCTGTGCATTAAATAGTTAGGTAAAGCCAAAATAACAGCTTTGGGGATTGCTCCGCCGAGGCATATCTTTTCCAAGACCCTGAGGATTTCTCTGTCTTTATACAAAGGGAATCTAAATCTAGAAAGATGTGTTTGGTAAATTAGTTATTACATATTTGGAGAAAGTAGTTTCAAATAAAAGTCTAATGGTGAATTAGAACGGTTTGATATACATTGTGTGTGTGCCTGTTTATATGTTTATAAGGAACTCAAATCTCTGAAAACAGGAAGAATCTTTCCAGTTCATCAACAGTTTTCTTGGCTCTCACCTATTCACTCAAGAAACCTAAAAACTGCTTGCCATATGCCAAGCATTGTGCTAAGAAATGCAATTTTGAGTGAATGTACTTGAAGTAAATGAATGTGGTAAAAACCTATACTGCATTTTTGAAGCTGAAAAAAGCAATTACAGCAAATCCAGTTTAAACTTCCCATCTGTTTTAATTATCACTTTGCATTGCAACAAATTTAATAAACACTTGATTTCATCTGATTTCAAAAATACTGTGCAACTTTTCTTACATCTTGTAAAGTAGGGAAAGTATGGAAGAATAAAGGAAAATAATTTCCTGTCTATGTGATCCATAGGCTTTATAAAATACTAGACACCCCCACAGGGCCTGGAGGGATATGTATCTTAGTTGAAGTTGTTAGCTTAGGATTTAAGAGACTCTTCCGTCATTAAAATTTAGATCTATACCAAGTACTACCAAGACTTTTAAAATGCCACAGCACTGCCTAGCTATAGATAAAAAAGTCCTTAGTATAGATTCCATTTTACCAAATACCAATTTTTGTCTGTTCTAATAACATTAGTTACCTGGACAAATGAATACAATAACGTTGATGTCAAACCTTCAGCAATTAATTAAAAATTATTTTAGGGGCGCCTGGATGGCTCAGTCAGTTAAGTGACTGGCTCTTGACTTCAGCTCAGGTCATAATCTCAGGGGCATGAGATGGAGCCCTATGTGAGGCTCCATGCTCAGTGGGGAGTCGTCTGCTTGAGATTCTCTCTCCCTCTCCCTTTGCTCTTCCCTCCCCCACTCTAAATAAATGAATAAACAAACAAACAAATAAAACCTTTTTTAAAAATTATTTTAAAAGTTCTTTCCTTAGCTCTCCACCACTTATACCCTCCTCTCCCATTTCCCTGTTTAATAGTTTCTCATAATTCATTTCATGGCTTCCTTTATTTTACAAATGTGTGCAAGGAAAATAAAGGAGGGGAGAAAAGAAGGTGAAATAGAGTTGGAGGAGGAAAATTTCTATTCTGTCTTCAAACTAGATATCAAATCCATTAACACCATCTCACAACCATCCCTCCTAGCAAAAGACTGGCTGTCCTCTAGCACTCCGATACTGCTTCCCCTGCTTCCCTGCCCTGCTCCCCATTGAGAAATATGACTGTCAACATCCCCAACCAAGATATGTCCTCCCCAAAATGCCCCTGGATCACTCAAGGCCTGTCCCTTTTTATGTCATCCTTTTCTCAGAATTTACCTGTCTTTTTCCTCATTCCCTTCTTCCTAGTTCACTGGGACTTCAGAGCTAACTGTCTGTCAAACATGTACCAGAGGGTGAGCGCTGGAGTCATGACTTCCAAATGTGGATTAGTACACTAGCTTCATCAGAAGTACCTGAGAACATTTTCAAAAATACATACTCCTCGATTTACCCTCCAAAGATTCCAACTTGAAATGTCTGGGAAGAATTGAGAAAATCTATCTGTTTGGAATGAGAACAGTGAATCTGGTCAACATAGTGGATTAAATACAGGCACTTATCTCTGCTCCTTCCCCAAACTCCTTGTCACGACATAAATACAGATCCAGATCAGCAGGAATCCAAGGCCCAGGGATCTCTGAAGGCATTAGTGAGAAGAAAGACTGAAAACAACAGAATTGGTTGATAATCTATATCAGGAGTCAGTAAACCTTCACATCACTTCCCAACCAAACAGCTGGGTAACATACTGCCCTAACCTAATCCAGAAACAGTAAGATATACTCCCTGGTGAGGGTAAACTGGAGAAGCCCTGGCCTTGAAGACATGGGATAGCTAGCTGAGTATAGGGGTGAGGGGACTTACTGCACATTGGGGTGAAGGGAGTAAGTGAAAGTCTGCATACTGAACTATGAAAGTTCCTCTCCCACTTAGCTCCTATAATGGCACTTTCCAGATTTGTATCCAGCAGAGAGGATATCAGAGGATTCCTTTGAAAGGAAACTGTCTTACCTAAGGAAAAATACTTTTATGGATACTGGGAGGTGGTTTTCAACAGTGTGATCACCTGCCTAATCACATCAAAATGAGGTCTGCCAATCCACAAGTTCCAGCTAGGCAGGCAACTTCTCTCACTCTTACATATGAATAGACATCTGGGGATCACCAGTCATGAAAATCAGACAACAAAACCAACAGACAAAATTGGGGGGGGGGGTGGGATTGAATGTAAC